AGTAGCTTCATCTGGTCTATTGCCGTTTGGCTGTCACTCCTTCCTGGAGAGAAATATCTGCTCTGCTGCTGCCATCAACACCATTGTTTATAGATTGTTTATATATGAAATTAAACAAAATAAAAATGAATGGCAGAAAAAGACAACTTGTTTAAAACAAATAGACACACAAAGTTTGGAAGTAGGCATCAGAAAGCATGTTTGATTTTTACAAATAATGAGTTAATATAACCTTTTGAAAGAAACATGTCAACCTGAAACTGTTAATTCACTCTCTAGTGTGTCGAGCTGGTTTTGGATCATGCATTGCCAGCACCTGTGCAGCTTTCAGTTGTTACTCCTGAGTTTCTACACAGCAAATCCAACATGCTCAAATCAACACTGTCAGATTTGATTTTAACACCCTTGAAGTGTCTATATGGGTCCACACCAGCGAGTGTTAATTTGACTCTTTTTGGAGAGTTGGTATTGTAACTCTTATTTAGTGTGATTGATAAATCTTTCTGGAGTTGATCATTCAACACTTAATTACACCTACTAGGTGTTAGAATTGGAATATTAACACTCCTAACTGTTCCTAACTACGTAGGAGTTATTCTCTAAATACTAAAAATCTGACTTTTCTGAACATACAAAAATCCCTTTGGATAAATAAATAAATAAAGAAGCAATATTTGTTTTTTTCAGCAGATATTTATTTCAAAAGTGCATCACAATTGGAATTATTTTTTTTCAAAACATGTAACAATGTGGAACCTTTGCCAATTTCCACTTCAATACTTTGCTTTGTAACAAAATTTTGAAGATAACTAAATTTAAACTAAAAGATATTTTCATGCACTGCAGAGGAGGTTCATTTCTCCAATTAAACCGCTGTTGGCTGCATCGATTTTTATGGGAGACAATCTTCTGATAGATGGGGATTCACGCAGCTCCATGTTTTCACAATAACATTTCCCAATCATTCTTTTAGGTGTATTGATGTTGATGAGTTTAGCCAAAAAATACAGAAAATATTTGTCTACAAACCCTTTTTTCAACACCATGATTACAAAGATTGCAAGTTAGCTAGACATGATTAGGCTATCACCAAAGCATTGCAGCTAATTCAATGTAGCAAATGTCTACCACACAGCTCTCTCTTGACTCAAAAAACGCCATAGAGTTAGAAAGCAAATAAAAATGTTAAACCTTCTGAAAGAAATTATTAACCAGGCTGGGTAAACCGGTCTGTATGTGAGCAAAATGGAGAGTAAGGTTTTCCTCGGCTTCGTTCAGTATCTGTAGCATTGGAGGCAGAGTCTGTGAATGTACACTTTGGGTGTCATCCCAACTATAGGAGTTCAGAGTTATTTTTTCCCCTTTAACACCTCCAGATTTATTATGTAACCCTATTTTTTAACACTAAATTTTTAGATTGATATAATATAACACTAATCAGAGCTAAATTAACTAAATTAGCTAAATTGACTTATTAACTTAAGTTAACTTAAGGCTACTAACACCATATTATTTAGCACTTTTAAATTTTTCTGTACATGAACATCACCAAATGGCATGATGGGTTCAATAGGCTAGACCTGCTGGAGGTTGGACAGAACAGTCTGTTTACTGGACAGCTTTAGAACAGTCTGTAGACCAGACAGCATTAGAGGAGCCTGTAGACCAGACAGTTTCAGAGCAGTATTTAGACTGGATAGCATCAGAGCAGTCTGTAGACCAGACAGTATCAGAGCAGTATTTAGACTGGATAGCATGAGAGCTGGATAGCATGAGAGCAGTCTGTAGATCAGACAGCATCAGAGCAGTCTGTAGAGCAGACAGCATCAGAGCAGTCTGTAGAGCAGACAGCATCAGAGCACTCTCTAGCCCAGACATTTTCAAAGCAGTTCGTAGCCCAGACAGCATCTGGACATTCTGTAGACTAGACAGTATCAGGACAGTCTCTAAACCAGAAAGCATCAGAACAGTATCTACATCAGCAAGCATCAGAGCAGTATGTAGACCAGACAGCATCAGAGCAGTCTGTAGATCAGACAGCATCAGAACAGTATCCACGTCAGCAAGCATCAGAGCAGTATGTAGACCAGACAGCATCAGAGCAGTCTCTAGCCCAGACATTATCAAAGCAGTCTTGTAGCGGTTAGACTGGGATCACAGGAGGATTTCATCATCAGACAATGGAAGTTTATACATGTAGGCTTTAAATAGAACAATAAGGAGGTCTCCAGTGCCTGCTCCTTATCTATAGTGTGTTTTTCCCACTTCCAAAATAAACATTTTATGGTCCATGGTGTCCTGTGAAATGAGGTTCTCCAGTGGCTCTGTGCTGAAACATCAGGTAATGTTGTTTTGATGTGTCAGAATAAAATGTGATCCACAGTCTGAACATGTAGCGTTTAACTTTGAAACTCGCCGAATGCACTTTGGATTCTAGCAACTGACTTCCTGTCTGAATGATCCACTTCGCTCTTGTTTAACAAGGACTTAAAGCATCAAGCGGGAAAAATAGACCAGCTATGGATTTAACAGGGTCCAGCCAACCATGCTTCTGCGAGATTTCATGGAACCACTCTGATCATGGAGCCCTTCTGATCCAGTGGAGAGTTGATGCTGCAGTGACGATCCTTGGTGTTAATACGTTCAGTTAAACCCCAGCTAGAGTAGCTCAAAGATCCACTGTAACCCACTATAAGTCAGCTGGGGCTTTGAGTCTGCAGGGCCAGGAGAACCTCAGACAGTAGTTATGGTAAAATAGTTTAGGCTTGTTCCTTCTTGTTATTACGAGAATCTGGGTTGGTTCTAGGATAATTGAAAATTTTATCACTCCCAGAAAATATCAGTTTGTCCTGTTGAGTGCCCCATCCATGATCCCCGTAACACCCGGTCAGAGAGCAGAGCGACTGCATTACAGCAGCTTCAAATCATTTTACAATCGGCAACCAGTCAAGGAAATGTGCTGCTGTCATCACATTGCATGAAAAGGTGGTGGAAAAAAGATAGTGATGCTATGAAGATGGAGCCCCCGATCACCATCTATGAATTAATGAGCACCTCCAGAGAGACGAGCTGCTGTAACGAAAGCATCATGTCCATCATAAGGTCCTTCGGAAGATGGCCTGAGCTCACGAAAACAGGTCGAGATTTTCTGTCCAGAAAAAACAGTAGACTGAAATTCAACAGAAAAGATCAGTTTTGGACTGAAATAAACTAATTTTGCTCAATAAAGCTCCTTTCAGACTGGTGCAAAATCCAGAGAGAGACGACCAGAAGACAAACAGGCGAAGAATAAGACAAGCTTTTGGTACTAAGGACACATTTTCACGTCTGTGGCTCCGTCTCGATCAAAAGAGAGGGAAAGTTATCACATCCACCCCAAAACACAGCAACAAATTAACAAAGTTTCCCAGAGAACTGTTTGGGATGAATAGGATGATGGAGTTTTGTCTCACCAGTAGGAAAAAACAATATAGTTTGTAAAAAAAACACAAAAAAACAAACAACAATTTCTATGAAACTCATTTTGTTCATCATTGTCATCTCTGGATGTTTCAGTTTAATTCAAAGCAGTTTATTTCTATACCACCAATTCCCAACACGTCATCTCAAGGCACTTTACAGTTCACCAGATCATCCAGTCAGATTGATTCAAAGTTTTCTATCTAAGGAAAACCAGTTGATTGCATCGACTTATTGAATCAAAGGCAATCCATCACGCTAAGCATGCTTGTAGCGACAGTGGAGAGGAAAAACTTCCTTTTAACAGGAAGAAACCTCCAGCAGAACCAGGCTCAGTGTTAGAGGCCATCTATAGAGGCCGACTGGGGTTCAAGGAGACAGAAACAGAGATACAAAAAGTAACTGTAAAAGGCGACCGCGTCCAGGAAACACACAGCAAGGCAGACGATGATGAGAAAAAGCAGAGAAAGCATAAAGTTAGAGATACCAAATGCTGCAGAATGGGATAATAGAGATATATTGATGAATGGGGGTCCTCTATGTCCTCTAGCAGCCTAAGCCTATAGCAGCACAAATGCACAAAATAGCTCAGAATAAACTAAGTATTTTGGATGAGGTATAAGTAGGCTAGAGCAGAGCAGAAACTTTATTCTAATACTCTCTCTTTTCAAAAACATTACTTTAGAAGCAGCAAACACATTTGACGTTCCAGATCTGTGCAACATTTCACTTTGTTTGGCTTTTGTATTTGGCAAGAGAGGAAGCAAATGCACAGCAGCTTGAAGGAATAAAACAAAAACAAATGCGGGGGNGGGGGGGACACTGGAACTTTCTGTGTTGGCTTTGCAGATCTTAACACACAAACATAGACAAGTGAGTTGTCATGTTTTCACAGGAGCAACGCTACTAAGATGGATTCAGCTGGCAAGAAGTGCTGCTACAGAGCGAGACTGTAGGCTTGGTTTGGGTGTTAGGTGTGAAAACATGCCTTGTTCACTTCCTGCATTTCTTTCCCTTCCCTGCCCACCTTCCTGAACACGTGCAAAGCTCCGGCAGCACAGCCTGCTTTGTTGGAGCTCTGAGGCTAAATTAATTTACCATTATTTCCATGAACTGTGCACCAATTGCTACTCCCTGGTGTGAATATCTAAACCATCTTTGCGTGTTTTGAAGCAGATATCAGAGAAAGTGTAGTGTCTTGGTTTGCACAGATCCAGTTTCTCTATGAAGCTCACTTTAGATGTGAAAAGGTTGGATTTTATGGTGAGACAGTCGAAAACAATGCAGAGAATTTCCTAGAAATGCTAAAAAGTGTTGTTCAGTAATGACTTTGGGGATTTACGGGGCTGTTTTTGCATGAGGCACTGTCAGCCTTCCTGTCTGTGCTCTGGTAGTGTTGTGTTGATGCACACGACTGAAGTGACTAAAAGATGCTCCAGGAGAAAAAAAAAAACAGATGTTCATGTTAATGTTGACAGAATAGGAGCAACCTCTGGTTTTAATTGCCTTTTTCCTCCTTCTCTCTCTTTTTAAATTTTCAGACACAGCATATGTTCGAGTTTTCATCAGCGACGTGAACGATAACAAGCCTGTGTTCGCACAGCCTTCTTATGAAGTCGATGTGGATGAGGACGCTGACGTGGGCTTTGCTATTCTCACAGTCAGTGCCAATGATGGGGACGAAGGTAGGTGGAAGGAAAAAAAAAGGACTCTATGTGGTGGATATGTGTGCGCTGACATCCGTTGATATGCAGGCAGAATAGAAATGTAGGCGTGAATGTGGGGCCAGTGCTAGAAATGCAGAATCAAACACATTTACACAAGAGCACTGCCAGACTGCTTCATTCTTCCCTCACTTTAGGAAGAGAAAAATCCTCTTTTAACTCTGATGCTTTTGTCTGACGCCCACTTTCTTGGAAGGAGGCTCAATAAAACAGGCTAAGGAGCTGAGAAAATCCCAATAATATGCGAGGCTGAATCAGCCATCATGACAGAAGCTGTTTGATGCAGCATTTCAATGGAAGCCTGAAGAAGAAAGTCTGATAAATATTGATGAATATTCTTCTTCACTAAGGTCAGTTATATCTTAGGGTTAGCGTGTTTTTAAATGGTGGAGGACGTCCTTGGAGTCCAAACCCAGCTTTCATCTTCTTTCTTCAACTTGTTATTGCGGCAAGGCGGTAACAATCAGACAACCAGATGAGCATACCCTGTCAGATCAGCATACACATTGTCAATACCCATTTATCCTTTTAGTTTTGTACGAAAAATTTTTTTTGTATATGACTAAAGGGATACACGCCTGTCGAGGTAGTTTAAAGTGTACTTTTTGTACAAAACTTGCACATGCGTATTGACTATGTGTATGCTGGTCTGACAGAACACCGGTTCTGCTCTGACTTTAAGGCCTAGTGGACACTTCCAACTGGTTCTATTAAAGGTATTGTCAAGTACTTTTTGAAAGAAACTTAAAAAAAAAATATGCGGAGAGTATGCACGAGTCCATTTCTCCTCGTGCACGCCCTGTTTAAAATGTGCTGTTCTCATAGCTCATACAAGCTCACTGTGTCCACATACAGCGGGGACTATATGTTGGACTTTATAGCAAACTTAGTTAACTGACTGTTCGCACAGATAATAACTGCTTTTATCTCCGTTGGTCACTTAACTCCTACTCCCCTGCGTGGTGCCTGCGCCATCTTTGTTATCAGTCGGCGCTGTTGGGTAGCGGTAGCCCATGGCAACATTGGGCCACTGTATCGCCAAATCCTAGAATGCTTTGCATAGAGAGATCTCCTCGCAATCTGCCTCTTCTGAGGCCTTTCTCTTCTTCTCATACACTTCGTAGACACTTTTTCTCTTACAACCCTCAGCCATTTTCAAAGAACCGCGGTAAGAAGGTTGAGCTTCAATGACTGTCTAAAACCGTAGCTCACCACAGATATGTGGCTGAAAGTGAGCATGCACAAAAAAGAGAGCTAATGGGGCGAGTATGTAGGACGGCCTCACGTAAACATGTCACCCGAATGGCTGACAATCAGGACCACTTATTTTGATGATCCACCAGGAAATAAAAGATCGTACTCTATGCCTTTAAGTGTGCAGAATGCAGATGATAAATAAGCCCATAGTTATTGAGCCACTTTAGTGAGCCACTTCCCTCTGAGAATATTTCTCAATCAGTTACTGCAGCTTGTTTTTATACTATTATTTTAAACACCCCATTTAATCTGGAAACAACACATTGTTTAACAATAATGTATATGAAATGTTATCCATTTTAATTCCACGCAGATTACTGTGGGGCTCAACAATTTTCCATTACGCTTATCCTAGCTTGTTTTGCGAGGGGTGCTGGGTCTTCAGCTGTCTATGGCGAGAGGCGGGGTCCACTCTGGACAGGTTGCCAGTCCATCGAAGGGCAACACAGAGACACACAGGGCAAACAACCATTCACACACCTAAGGAGAATTAAGAGAAGCCAATTAACCTACAGTAGCAGCCATTCCAAACACGACCCTTCCCAGTCAAACGCCAGCCGAATGGCAACCCACTTCCCTGCAACTCCCAGCAAAATTCCCTCCGACTTCTAGCCACTGTCCTACTCCTTGGCTTGCACATTTTTTTTACTCTGACTTCACCCTTTGACTGAAATACAGGGTCCAAGACCAGGAGATGACGCTTCTTTTTAGATCTTAATGTCCACAAATCATTACAGAAAGAATATTTTAATACAAATGTTGATGTTTAAAAAGGAATTGTAGGGGACCAGCTACTGTAACAGTCATGCTTTTGGACTATAGGAGGAAGCTGGAGTACCTGGAAAGAACATGCAAATCAATGCATAAAGGTTCGGAATCAAACCCAGAACCTTCTTGATGCAAGGCAGCATTCCTACCCACAAAGTTTGGGAACCTTGGCTTTTAAGGAGAGTTTAAAAAGTAATGTTGTAACCTGAGATCTATAAACCAACACTTTGTAACCTTTTACCTCTCTGCTGGCCAGCTAGCCTGTTTCACAAGTAGCCCAATTCAGTTTTGGTAAACTGCTGCTGACTCCAATCACAGCGCGTGAGGCAGAACTCTGTGATTTATTTGGTTTATTTGTTACGTCGCTGGCTGTGCATAACGGGATGAAATTCCAAACTGATGGTAATGTGGCCAGGTCTTTGCACTGATTAGCCAGTGGCCACCCCTCGCCACCCTCTGGTGGCGCCACTGCCAAGCAGCAAAAAGCTCTAAAAAAGTACTTGGTATGTGTTTACTGATAGAATAAGGTTTATTTAATCGTAAACCGTGTTTAAAATTAAATCTGTTTCAAATGGGGTCACGCCTGAATGACTACAGATGAAGAAAATCAGTCTCTTAAAAAACAAGACATACAGCATCAGTAGGAGGAAATGACGCAGGCGCTATCTTCAGCACTAAAGGTTAGCCTCTCATGGCATCCTACCTGTCTTTAAAAAAAATCATTTAAATCCTGTCATGTTGTTTTTTTCCTGATTCCCAAACAAAATGCTGCAACATGCATTTTTTAAAGAAGTGGAGATTTCTGCAGCGTTGGTGTTGTTAGACAGCCTTACTAGAAGTGCTTATTAAGTGAAAACAGCCGTGCATCTCAAGGACAGCTTCCTTTTCTCTTTGCATACTGAGCAAATCTTCCTTTTAATCTAAGAGGAGAAGAAATTGTAATGTCATGTAGTGGATTCCATGCATAATATATGTCTTTAGATGCTGACTATAAATAACCAGAGCCTGTAGGTAGTGTGGCAAAGCTGAGGTGTTGGTGAACTAACAGTCAGGATGAGGGACTATGCAGAGCAGACATTTTTGTCTTAATTTTACTTTTCGACTGAGGAAACACTTTTAATTAAGGAATACATCTAATGTTTGCTCTGAGATCAGAAAACATTCAGCTAAGGAAACACAGTGGACTGGCCTGTACTTTACAGAAGGGAGTCAATAAACCATGGAAAAAAGTGCTGATACCTAGAGTGATATATTTCAAGTCATAGAGTCAAATAAATATCATATTTATGTCAAGGAACTCTGTTTGTTTTAATCTTGTTGTCATTAATGATTGTTTTTGCCGATATGACGCCTGATAAAATGGTCACAGTACCTCACAGACAGGGGCAGATTTAGGAAATTTGGGGCCCTAGGCAAACACAGGCAGGGGGCCCTCTGAATTGAGAACATAAAATGATGACATATTATACAGATATACATTATTAATTAATAAATTAATTAAAACATTATTTGTTCTATGCTTTGTCCCCCTCTTCTTTTCCCTTTTCTTGTTGTTGTCCTCTCTATGTTTTGTTCTCATCTGACTTTTCATGCTGTCTCAAAAGAAATGAAAGATTTTTTTTCCAGGCATTAAGCTCACTTAGCTGATTGCTCCTTCCTGTGTTTCCAAAAAGATGACGGCTAAAGTAACTAACCCTTTTTTTCACTGCAGACAAGCCATGATCTGCTTATCTGTTCTCCATTTTCATTTGGATGAAATAATAGATGCATGAATCATGACAGCAGACAAGATAGAGGAGAGCAGGAGGCGGGTTACCAATCTACTGGCTCTGGAGAGCAGAGTTCGCTGCTTTTAGATGTTGTTGCCAAAGTCTCCTTGATTTGGCACTAGGCGAATTTTTAAAATAAAAGTACTAGAAGGGGTCTGAAAGTCGGTAAATATAGTGAAAAAAGCACTAAGTTGGCAACACTGCTCTTCGCATTGTTTGCTTTCAAATGGTTTGCTGCTGTCTGTTTGGACCTTTCTGAACATGTGCAGCAAATGGACTTGTCCAATATGGGGGGGGGGGGTTTGGGGGGCTGAGACACAGTGTAGGCTACATTATAAGCTGATGGCAAATTAGTGAATGGATTTTTATCAAAAACATAAATAATGTACACAAATAAGGAATAGTTGTTTTAACTATATATGGAAACAAAGTTTTAACGGGCCTCCGGGAACTTGGGGCCCTAGACAGCGGCCTAGTATTGTCCAATGGTAAATCCCCTGCCTTTGATTAAAAAAAACAAAATCTCTTCTTGCTGTTTACAGTTGGACTGTACTACAGACACTTGATTACACTGATGAGATGAGAGATTTTTTTAATTGTTGTTAAAACAGCAAACTTATAAGTGTTCTAGTACAGGGTGGAGTTTATGCTTTGCTGAGGAGCAGCTTGTTGTTCAGGTCCAGAGGTGGCAGAGCAGTCAGAGACCATCACACCGCCACAGAGCCTGACAATAGGTCAGCTCTGGCTTTACTCCAGACACAACAGAACATGCCGCTCTTTGAAAAGGTCCACCTATGTCTAGTAAACCCACAGAGGAGTTTCCAAAAACAGTTGGTTGTCACCTCAATCAAATAATGGCTTATCTTTCAAAGACTCTATGCAGAATCAGAAACCAGAATCCAGGCCTCCAGTCTGTTTTTCTTGGCTCTCTGCGCTCGGCGATACACCTCACCCCGAAAGGAGGAAGAACTTTGTTTTCCCAAGTCTGAAGACGTTTCTCAATTTAAAATCCTTATTATCGCTTGGAAAACATGAGAAGCGGCCTAGTGGTTAGGGCATAGAGATTGTTATCCTGTGGTTCTGAATTCAAGCCCCACTCCTACAGACTGCCACCCTAGGTCTCTGAGCAAAAGACCCTTAACCCCACACTGTTCCCCAGGCGCTGCACAATTGCAGCCCATTCCTCCCCAAGGAGATGGATTAAATGAAGAAAGTGAATTTCGTTGCTCTGTACTTGTGACAGCGTAATAACAATAAAAAGCTGGGGAAAAAAAAGAAAAAACTGTCCCAGTTGTCCCCCTTGTCAGCAGGCGTGCTGGGAACATGCATATCCCTATGCTGACTGTGCTCCATGGCTTCCTCTCACTCCTGTTCTTATCCAGAGTTCTTCTTCGTTTTGCTACCTGCAGCCTTTACACCATGAGTCTGACTAAAACTATAAATCGAGCAGAGGCTCTTCCTCTGCTCCCTACGAACAGTGAGGCTTCTTTGCCATGGCAACCCCCCACATCGCCAGAGGAAGACCGCCAGTGTTTAACTTAACGAGACATGTATTTATTTGTTTATTGTACAAAATCCTGCTATAATTATTATTTAAAAATAGTAAAATTTTATAATACTTGTGTTTATTTCATGGTACGTTTGAAGTTCTGTATCATCAAATATTTCTGCCCTCCATATACAACAGGGATCACTTATTGTGACCCCGGGGGGGTCCTTTTGGAAGCCCTGAGCTAGTGCTTTGTATTCATATTAAATAAATTTTGCATTGCTCACATTAAATGCAGGCTTATCTTTCAAAGACTCAGTGCAGAATCAGAAACCAGAATCCAGGCCTCCAGTCAGTCTTTCTTGGCTCTCTGCATTCGGCGATACACCTCACCCCGGGAGGAGGAAGAACTTTAAAATTGGTTCATCTGGGAAAAAAACATTAATTTTCTCTCAAGTTGTTTGTTTATATTAACTGTTTTATTATTCCCTGTTCAATTCTACTTTCTCTTCTGTTTGGATTTCAGTGATTTCTAAGTGCTTAAGGGATTTCTACAAGTACAAAAAAAAGACAATGAGGATGAATCAACGGAACGCAATCCTATGTATTCCCTTATGTCTCATTTAGAATGGAAACAGACAGACAGTACAAAACGGTGGATTAGAGCATTCGACTCCCTCCTTCCTCCACTTTCATCTCCTTAATAAGCTCTGAATCTCCTCTCATCTTTAGAGACCCAGTTTTTCCCTCTCATATTAACATGGAGGACGGTGAATCGGGATGCAGACCACCGTAAAACCGTTAAGGGGAATGTTTCATTGATCAGCCACTAAAAGATTGTCGAAAACGTTATTTTCAATTCAGGCTGTTTCTTCAGTGCCAATTCAAAACATGTCATCTTAGGTCACTTTAGAGAGACAGTATACAGTCAGCAGCATAACTACAAAGATAGCTCAGAATAACCCTAACAGGCTAACCCTAACCCGGTCGGGGCTCCCGCCGGGGGGCAGGGCACCCCTGGGGCCTCGGGTCCAATTCGGGGTGGCTGGCTGCCGGCGGAGCCCGCAGACTCGTCCCTGCGCATCCTGGGGGCTTTCGGCATTGCGGCAGATGGGGGATTTCTTAAGGGCAGTCTCTCCTCCTCCCTTGGCGGGGGGTCGGATTTCATGGGTTGGCCCCTCTTGGGCACTTTCGCTCTTAGGATCCCTTTGGACGTCTGGGGCTTTGGGTCCCCCGGTGCTCGCCTTGGTGCTTTGGAGGGGCGCGTCTTTGGATCTTCACAACCACTATTGAGCATTTTTCCTTTGGATAAACTTTACATGCAGAAGTTACATGCACAAGGTACTTAGAGATTCACTTCCACACAGAAAGCCCATATTCTGATCAGCTACCACAGTATACATGTCAGATTAAATAGTACTTCTTATACTTTAGCGATAGTATCAAGGTGTTATTTTATTGTATCTCTTATACTATATCCATTGGTTGTGCTGTTCTTCTTACAGCTCTTTCGAGGTGATGAAGCAGACTGAAGATGTTTTATCGTTACCTCGCTTTTATCTTGTTTTCTTTCTTCTTTTCTCCTTTTTTCTGTTTTTCCTTTCCTTTCATATAAAAGCTAATTACATGCATAAATCAAGCGGAACACTATGGTGATAGCCATACTGCTCCACTTGTAAAGGCAAAATCTGTTTGACTCTCTTTTTGGCATCAAGACAATTATTCTTATTGCCACATCACCAGACAGGTTGTTAAAAAAAAGATAGCTCAGGATAACGTTACCTACTCTAACTCTAAACTTTATGAAAAAGGAAATTTTTAAACCTACTGTTAAAAGTAAACAGGGTGTCTGCCTCATGAACTAAAACTGGTGGTTGGTTCCACAGGAGAGGAGCCTGATAACTAAAAGATCTGCCTCTCATTCTGCTTTTAGAAATTCTAGGAACCACTAGTAAACCTGCAGACTGAGAGCAAAGTGCTCTGTTAGGGACATAAGGAACAATCAGATCTCTGATATAAGATGGAGTTTGGAAGAAAAGAGATAAAATGAAGCAAAAAGATGAAAAGGGGTTCCTATGTCCTCCAGTAGGCTAATCCAATAGCAGCATAACTATAGAGAGCTTAGGAGAACCTGAGCCACTTTAACTATAAGCTCTATCAAAAATGATTGCTTTGAGCCTTGCCTTAAAAGTAGCCAGGGTGTCTGCCTCACGGACTAAAACTGGTAGTTGGTTCCAGAGAAGAGGTGCCTGATAACTTAAAGGTCCAGACCCTTAGTAATGGTGAGTTGTTGAGGCCTTTGTTGGCCAGCAAAACCTGATAGTGGCCCTCTGAAAAGGGGACTTGTTAGGGTTGTTGTTGGCCTGGCTGAACAGACGAGGTGTTTTGATCCCCTCCATGGCCATGAGGATTGAGATGATAGTGAGAAGGAATTGACACTATTACTGCATTTTAGGTTTTTGAGTGCTGGAACCAAATTCCACTCGCTCTGTTTAAGGTTGTTTTTTCTCTCTTAACATCAATGGCTTCCTTATATGCCTCCAATGTAAAGATCAGAGCATTCTTCACTATACTTAACTTCATACACCACTCCGCTCATCTTATAAGGGTCTTGGGTATTTTTCTTTAGGATGCACTAGCCTCTGTCTAAAGGGGTCTTGTTTGGTCTGAAACAAGACCCTTAGACAGAGGTGATCGGAGTGGTGCAGTTCAGATATTTATTGATCACAATAATTGTATTTAAATATTTCTTAAAGATCATTGTTTTTTTCCAATGTAACTGACAGATAACAGGTCACTAGACTGGATTGATGAAGGCTGTTTTTTTCCAGTTTTAATGCATTTAGCTGTTTTTTTCATACATTTTTATTATGAAGAAAATTTTTGTCACTCTCTAAGCAAACCGCTGGGTGTCGAATCAAGAGTCAGCAGAGAGCAGCTATCCAGCTTTGTGCTGGTGATGTCAGCTCTCCTTTACTGACATCACATTCAGTTCTTAGTCAATAGCTAAATTTAAATCTTTTTAGCCGGGGGAGGGCGCCAAACAGACAGTCTTAGACTAAAAAGCGTGATTTGAACAAATGTGCAGTAAATTGTCCTGACATTGCTGGCTCTATAGGACTTCTATTCATACAGTTTATAAGAAAAAAGTTAGATTTAGTTAGGGGAGTCGTCCATTAAGCCCTTCATCAGTTAGATTTGTCACTTTGTAAAAATGACTTTGCTTTCTCGGCTGCAGGTGGAAATGCCAAGCTTCGCTACCAGATCACATCAGGAAACACAGGAGGCGTGTTTGACGTGGAGCCAGAGGTGGGAGCCATCTTCATCGCTCAGCCTCTGGACTACGAACTGAACAAAAGGTACAAAGGGCTGACTGCAACTTTCATGCTGGACTCTGCTGTGTCTACTTCTTCTGGTCTGTGGGGCTGAGCTTGATAAAGTTCATCCTACCGGACCTCCTTCTTTCCTAAAGATCAGATATGAGAATTTGAACAGATCTGTTATATCTGATGTGACAGCAACAGGGCGACTTTCTTGCCTCATTTACCCCACAAACAAATCTCAGGTTCCAAGTATTGACTCATGCTAAAAGTTTTAAAACAGCTAGGCGCCTTCAGATGACATAAGTTGTGAATTGGCACTATATAAATAAACTGAATTGAATTAAAATAAAAAATTAAACATCACCACCAATCCGAATAGTTTCTGACGCTCAGTCCTTCCGGGCTGCACAGTAGAGCAGTGAGTAGCACTGCCGCCTCAAAGCAAGATGGTTTGATTCCTTGCCCAGGGTCTTTCTGCATGCAGTTTGAATATTCTCCCTGTGCATGTGTGGGTTCCTCCCACAGCCCAGAAACATGACTGTTAGGTTAACTGGCTTCTCTAAATTCTCCTTAGGTGTTAGTGTGTGAGTGAATGGTTGTTTGTCTTTGTGTTGCCCTTCAATAGACTGGCGACCTGTCCAGGGTGGACCCCACCTCTTGCCCCCTGACAGCTTTGCTGGTCCCCTACAATTCTTTTTTAAACATCAATATTTGTATTAAAATGTTCTTTCTGTCATGATATGTCGACATTAAGATCTAAGGAGAAGTGTAATCTCCTGGTCAGACCCTGTAATTCAGTGAATGGATGGAGTCAGAGTAAAAAATATGCAAGAAGGGGTCACTCCGGTGGCTAGAAGTTGGAGGGGATTTTGCTGCCTTTCGAATGGCTTTTGACTAGGAAGGGCCATTCTGAATGGCTGCTATTGTATAGTGACACCATCATTTTGTTCTTTAAGCTTTTCTCAGATCGCTCTGATCATTGAACTCAGTCACTGACATCACGGCAGAACATCTTCTATCTAAAGGAGCTCCCTCTGCTGCACTGTGAAACAAACAGAAACGTCTCTGCAGTCACCCAGACGAGAACAGGAGCAGTAGTCATTATTGCACACATGATGTTTAACAACTTGATGATCATCAGTGTTTAGCAGAGGAATCAATACTGAAAGTAAACAGCCTGATTTTAACGAGCTGCTTGTTTAAAATGAAGCAGCTGTTTTCTGTTCACTGCTGAGAAGGAAGCAGAGACGTTCCTAAGGTGTCCCTTTATGTCCCTGAGTGTTAAAATCAACTCCTCAGGTCTTCTAAGTGACCCAACACTAGCTTCACAATTCTGAGGTTTTGATGCTGAAATCTCTTTTCTGTTGGAAACGTTTTTCTCAGATACAAGCTTCATGTCTTGGCTTCAGACGGGAAGTGGGAAGATTACACAACGGTGACGGTGAACGTAGTGAACAAGAATGACGAGGCCCCCGTGTTCACGGTGAACGAGTACTACGGCAGCGTGACGGAGGAGCTGGATGGTTCACCAGTCTTTGTCCTGCAGGTATGATGATGCAGGCAGCAAACTGACCAAGCAAGCCTCGTTGACTCTAGAAGGTTGTTTCAGTTTTCTGGACGGGTTGGTGTTTGTTCTTAGTTTATTCTCTTCTTCCTTAGTTTAGTGAGGAACAGAAGATTCCTGTCCTCCTCTCTCTAACCAGTGTTCCTCCCTTCTTCATCCCTAACAGAATGACCTTTGACCTGATCTTTGGTGGAACCAGCCTTTGTCCTAAACTGCTCTGGGGTTTATCTTCCACTGGGATGTCATGTTTAGGAAATGAAAGCTTCAGTTCCTCTGAATTCAGAATGACTACTGGTTCACCATCATCCATCATTTCACTGGGGGGGGGATGACAAACTGGCGCCCCGCACAGAGGCTGGCAGGCTGTGGGAAGAGGCGCTGATAGCAGTTGTGGCCTTTTTGCGGCACACACACTGCACCCCCTCCCAATAAAGAAAATTAACATTTCACTCTACTAATTTAAATAACACAAAACTGAAAAAGTAAAAATAAATAAAAATGTACAAAATGATGATTTAAAGGTACACTATGCAACCGGTGTTGATTTTCCAGCGAGGCTCCCCCCAGAGGCCGAAAGTAAAAGTACACTGTCGTAAATATGCACAGCTGTTCTCCTGGTTTCTCCGTCAAGCCAGGCGTGGTTGTTTTGAGCTTAGCAGACAGGCGAACGCAACAAATGACTAACGCTGCTTTCACACCGGACGCAGCTGGCGCGACAGAAGCAGCGAGTTTACATGCAAAGTCAATGGTTGACGCGCGTCAAGGCGCAGCAAAAGGTCCCGCGGCGCGTTTTGAGCAGCAGGCGCAGCGCGTCTGAGCAGCTGAAGCAGCGCGTCGGGCGCGTTTAATCATCTGACGCAGGGAGAAAGACACAGCGCTGATGATCACTCCTCTTAAACAGTTTATTGACGCCTAAATTAACTTAAAATGCAGAAATCTGCCGGCAGAATATGCAGTTTGGATTATTTAGATGAAAAACACCTACCAGCTGCCACGGTGAACCGCGAGGAGGTGACCCGGCCAGAGGCTGCTGATGAAGGGATTCCTACTGTCGGCGCACCGCTGGTATGTGGGGGTCTGAGCGGCTCCGACAGAAAAAATATTGAAGGCAGGATGATAATCTGAATGAACTGACTGCACTGATTACGTTTTCAGGTGTATTTTCTCACTTAAACACATATTAAAACTACTTTATTCCCACTGATCATAGCAAATATAGCTGCAAGGCAGAGAAAGGATAGTGAAGCTCCGCCCAACACGCGTCAGACACACTTTCGCACCGCGCAGCCAGAGCAGCAAAGCTGCTTCAGCCACGCGTCAGAACTAACTGGTACAAGCAGCAAAAAGGAAGCAGCAGACGCGATTTTGCTGCGTCCGATGTGAACGTAGCATAACTGCACAAAGATTGCCACTGTGCTAGCAACGAGCATGCTTTTAACTGGGGGCGTGTAGCAGTTCTCGCCGTAAAGCAAGACTGACTCTCGCGAGACTTCTGAGCCTGTGGGTGCGGGTCGGTGCTCCTGCAATTGCAAGTGCGGTATTTCCCCCACAGACCACCAGGGCGGCCGAGAATACCTTTGTTCAACCTGAAATGACTCATTTAATCATCCAAAACGTTATGGAACACATTCATTAACTGAAAAATGTTGCATAGTGTACCTTTAATAGAATAAAATATCGATTTTAAGTTTTGTTAATAAAATAATTCTAAAAAACAGTCTGTTCCAGACAGATGAAAGCTCTTTGACCCCCCCCCCCCCCCCTTTTTTTCTGACTAAACTTTTCCTGAATGTTACAGAAAACACCTGATTTCACTGATTGTTGCCTCAAAGGGTTCCTTGACAGCATTGTAGTTCAGCAGCTCCATCAGGCTGGTTTACTTCTTTTATTTATTAATATATGGATATGGATGTATTTTTCTGTGTCTGAACATCTACCCTAACCCAAGCATAGAGCACTATAGAGGGCTTACACCATTTTACATGAGTGTCCAAGTATCTAGTGGATGAAAAAGTGGACTCAAAATTTCCCACAATGCACCTTGAAAAGTAGTGATAATCTGTCCGAAAGGTCAGTTAACTGAGTCCACTATATAGTCCACGCTCTATGTATGATTTCATGATTTCCATTTTTAAAAATGTTTTATTATTATTACTTTTGTAATTTTCAATTTCTTTTAGTGGAAGATGATTTTCTCTGTCTTTAATTTTTCTCTGTCTTTAATTTTTTTTCTCTGTCCTTTGTTTTCTTCAGACAAGAAAACAAAGGAGGTTGATTGTGGTTATTTTACAGGAGTCATTCTGTAAGCTAGACAGGGAATCAAAAAACAAATCAACTGTAGAAGTTGGAGTTTCAATTTTTCAGATGCCGCATCCAATCAGTGACTGAGATCCAGAAAGGACAACTAAAAATTCCAATGTTGTCTTTCTTTTATATGATTTTATCTTTAAATCCTCCTTAAAACAAATAGAGACAGACAGAAGGAGGTGGGTTGGTCTGATATTAGCAAGAACAGACACTGAATACCAAGAGATCAACACTGGAATACTATCTGTATTTTAGGAAGAGCTGTCATTTTTGGAAAGCTGTTTTAAAAGGATTGTTTGGCTTATTGGAGAAGAACACTGGGAAACAAGCTAGACTGAAGCAGAACTGGACCCAGAACATTCCAGTGAATCCAGTAGAGGCTGGAACCAACCAGAGTCCAGATCTGACTCTAAAAACAGACTTTACATCCATTGGATCCCTCTAAAAGCAGAGTAAAAAAACAAGCAGAAAAAACTGAGTAGAAAAAAAACAAATATTTGAAGGTTTTCAGTGAGGAGATGTCTTCAGGTCAGGAGTGTTTCAGTAACCATTTGAGGGTCTCTGTTGACATTTTAGGTGACGGCGTCCGACCCAGATAAGGATGCTGACCAGGAGGCCCTGCGGTACTCCCTCCATGGCCAAGGTGCTGAGAGCGAATTCATAATCGATGAGGTCACAGGAAAGATCTACGCCCAGAGGACACTGGACCGCGAGGAGCGTGCTGTTTGGCGCTTTGTCGTCCTGGCCACAGATGAGGGGGGTGAGGGTCTGACGGGATTCACCGACGTCATCATCAATGTGTGGGACATCAATGACAATGCCCCAGTGTTCCCCTGCGCTCTCAGTTGCCTTGGAGATGTGGCAGAGAACTCAGCACCCGGGACGTCCGTCATGGAGATGACCGCGACCGACTTGGATGACTCGGCCGTGGGGCAAAACGCTGTGCTGTCCTATAGGATTGTGGGTATTTTAGACTCCACAGACAGTAGACTGGGTGGAGTGCCCACCTCCTCAGACATGTTCACCATCAACCCCACCTCAGGAACTATTTCTGTAGGCGTAGGAGGTCTGGACCGGGAGCAGGTGGAGTCCTACCTGCTGGTTGTGGAGGCCAGAGATGGAGGAGGGATGACTGGAACTGGAACCGCAACCATTCAGATAACAGACGTAAATGACCATGCTCCAAGGTTCCTAGATCATTCCTGTCAAGCAAGGATCTCTGAGAACTCAGAGCCCAACTCAGAGGTGGGTAAACATCGCCTTTAAGGCCTCAGATTAGCCTGACAGTTTAAAGCAATCAGAAACTTTTATACATCAGAGCCTTCTGCCTTTTCCTGGATTTACAGTCTGAATCATCTACTTCTGCACCTGTTTGGAGCTTTTATGACTCAGATGTTCCGGCATTATGGCTCATAGCCAAATTAATTTCCTAAACATGCCAGCTGCTGGGCGTTGATAAGTTAAGTGGAACTAATTTGTTTTTGGATCTGAGCAAACGTCCGTTTTTTTCTGTGGCAGACCAGAGTCCCCGGTCAGGTGTCCAACAGGATTAATAACTGATCAGAGGATCAGGAGCAGGAACTAAGGACAGACCTTATGGTTTAGACCAGCGGTCCCCAACCTTTTTTGCACCACGGACCGGTTGTATGTCAGACAATATTTTCACGCACCGGCCTTTAAAGTGTGAGGGTTAAATACAATCAAATAAAATAATACGACTGGCATAAAATCAAATACAACAAAATAAAAATAAAGCTCACCATTATGTTGAATTAGTGGGAGCCCTGAGCTTATTTCTCCTAAACAAGCCGGTCCCATCTAGGTGTAATTGGAGACAATGACACACAAAGTGTGCTCCTGATGTCCAGTCTGCTCCGTAGTTTTGTTTTGGTCGCTGTAACCGCAGAAAATCCCGCTTCACAAAGATAGGTTGTTATTTATAGGATGCGTCTTGACCTGAATTAACCTGTTTTAAGAGGAACAGATGCACGACTGATGTAATTTGGAGAGAATACCCTAATTTTTTATATTTTTCAAAATAAAACATCACTCGGACTCTGATCGTCGATAAAGAGAGGGCTGCTGCAGACGGGCTAACATTAGCCTTGGCTGCCATTAGCCTCGGAGGTCCGCTGGTTGCTGCAGTACTCTCAACAACGGAAAAAAGTTTTTAAATTACCCATTAAATCATTAGATGGACCATAGAGTGATGCTTAAAGGTATAATGTTCTCGCCTCAATTGATCTTAAGACTTACTTTTATTGAACAACAGCAACAGAAATGAGAACTTTTAACTTAATAGGCAAGGCAAGGCAAATTTATTTGTATAGCACAATTCATTACAAAGACAATGCAAAGGGTTTTACATGGTTAAAATATAGGACAATAAAACAGAATCAAAGCAAGTAGGAAAAAAATAAAAAAAATTAAATAAAAAATGCAGAAACAAAAATGAATATTAGAAACAATAGGACTAAAGAAAATAAAAAGGTTCAACTAAAGATGTTTCAGTTGAACTGTTTAACTAGAACAGTCGAAGGCAATCCTAAACAAATGTGTTTTTAGTCTTGATTTAAAGGAACTCAGGCTTTCCGCACTTTTACAGTTTTCTGGAAGTTTGTTCCAGATAAGTGGAGCATAGGAACTAAATACGGCTTCTCCATGTTTAGTTCTGGTTCTAGGTATGCAGAGCAGGCTGGAGCCAGAAGACCTGAGCGGTCTGGAGGGTTGATACACTGATAGCAAGTCTGTGATGTATTTAGGTGCTAAGCCATTCAGAGATTTATGGACTAACAGAAGAATTTTAAAGTCTATTCTCTGAGATACAGGGAGCCAGTGTGAGGACTCTAGAACTGGGGTGATGTGCTCTACTTTCTTAGTCTTAGTGAGCACACGAGGCAGCAGCGTTCTGGATCAGCTGCAGTTGTCTGATCCACTTTTTAGGTAGACTTGTGAAAACACCGTTGCAGTAATCAATTCAATGAAAAACAAACGCATGGATTAGTTTTTCCAGATCATGCTGAGACATTAGTCCTTTAATCCTGGAAATGTTCTTCAAGTGATAGAAAGCCGTACTCTGAGCTTTGTGAGCGCTAACCTGGAAGCTGCTGCGGCCGCAGTGCATGCTGGGACAGCTGTCAATCTCAAGAACAGACAAGTCTGCTGATGCATGCTGGGTAAAGAGGGAGGGGCAAGAACAACATCCGGGACTTTGTCCGTTCTCGGTCTGCTGTTTTTGTGAATTGGAACAGTACTAGGCCTGAGGCTGATGAAGTTTCACGAGTACACAAGCACACAAGAACGCACAAGTACATATATTGAGAAAAGGTCCTAAAAGGTTTAGAAAGAGTCAGAAAAGCATGAATTAGGACAAAAGAAATGTTCTGGTCTGAGTCAATGATTTTTTTGTGTTGCCAAATGATCCAACAGGAAGCACTGTTCTCTGTTTTAGAGTCTAACCTCTGTTTTAGAGTCTAACCTCAGTTAGCATGATGGTTCTGTTTGCGGTAAGGTTCTGGAACTCGCTGCTGAGGACCAGGACACTGGGGAAAACGCTCAGCTGACCTTCAGCGTTGTGGCGGGAGATCAGGAGCAGAAGTTCTACATGCTGAGTCAGAAGCAGGAGCAGAGAGGAACTCTGAGGTTGAAGAAACGGCTGGACTATGAACGGCACAGCGAGCAGAAGTTCAACCTCACTCTGAAGGTGCGTTTTGGTCTCAGCTTGGATTCTAGCATTTTCTGGCTTATTGAGAAGCTCAGCTTATTTTTCTCTGTAATTCCCAGCCATGATACTCCTCGGTTGCCATGGCTACCAGCTCCTCACACCTGTTGTTCATTTGCAATCAGTACAGCAGTTCTCCTTTAGATAAAAGCCTTCTCATTACTCCCCCTGCCTCTGAGCCAATTGTTATAGCTTCTGCTGCCACATATTTAGTTACTGTTGAGGATTCAACCTGAGCTGTTTGGGTCCTTCTGACCATCGCTGGATCACATCCAGCTTCAGTCAGGGGTTTATATGGTGCTGAATTGGTGCAGAAAGGTCTTTGATCATAAACACTGAAGATTTAAGGTCTTGTAAGGATTCTCACCCAGGCCTCCTCCAGCAGAGATAAAACGCTTTTTTTCTCGAAGGACATCAGAGCTTTCTATTAATGTTCTAATGGATTTTAGTCAAACTGACATAAAACAGAAGGACCCAGCTTTCAGGCAGGACAGACAGTAGGAAGTGTTAAAATGTTTAATGACAAAAATGAAAATAGAGACAGAACAGAACATGGGGTGCTATGAATCTGCGGACCTGCAGCTGTTGCGATGGAAAGCGGAGCATCGCCCATCACTGGCACTTTGGTTGTGGGAGAAACAGAGAGACAGAAGATGATTATCCTTTCATCCTCTCGGGTGAGGCAGGATCAGCCCATGTGCTGTGGAGGTGAGCTGTACAGAGTGTCTGCAATGCTGCAAGTGAGCATCAAAACTGAGCAGGCAGGAGACCGATCCAGGTCAAGGAAACAGTTAAGAACAGGACCATTTTGAGATCCAGGAATCTGTAGACCGGGCAGGGGTTCTGATCCGAACAGGAACAGAGAGATCCAGGGTTCCAGGAATCCACAGAAGGATAAGGCAGGTTTAAATGTCCATGAGTCCAGCAGCAAGCTCAGTAAGACACGCTCAGATGGGGACAGGCTTGCCCAGTGGTTAAGAGGAACAGAGACAAGACACGGTACCAGGAGAACTGCAGGACTTTTAACGGGCTCCATCCAGATTTTGATTTATGAGGTTTGGAAACCCGTAGATGAAACTAGTTCTAAACCATAACATCAACACCGCAGCACAGAAAGACTTCGGATTCAAACCCAATGCCGATATTATTGTTTATCGCAATTGTTTCAAGAACAATTTATTGTCCTGCATATTTTCTTATCGTCACAGTCCAGACATAGTCACCAAGATGTTACATAGCTTTAGAAAAACACATAACATATGGAAATTATTTTATTCAAACTAGATCCAGTCCATAAAGAAACAAAGGGTCTGTGGGTCTGGACCGGCTTCAGAGCATAGTCTCACTCTCTACTATTGCCCTGAGATCCTCCTCAACTCTGTGTCACATTTAAAACTGGATGGTAGGAGAGCTTGTTCCTGGCCGGCCATGTTAGAACTATGCCATTTGGATTGCCTGGCTGGCTGTGTGTTTCCTGGATGGGGCAGCCTTTTACAGTAGCTTTTTGTATCTCTCCTGTCTCCTTGAACCCCGGTCGGCCTCCTCAGATGGCCGCTCACACTGAGTCTGGTTCTGCTGAAGGTTTCTTCGTGTTATAAAGGGATTTTTTTTCGTCTCCACTGTCACTACAAACATGCTTGGTGTGAAGGATTGCATTTGAGTCAATGACTCGATGCAATCAACTGGTTTTCCTTAGACAGAAAACTTGAATCAATTTGACTGTATGATCTGGTAAACTGTAAAGTGCCTTGAGATGACATTTGTTTTGTGATGACATGTGAAATGGCGCTATATAAATAAACTGAATTGAATTGAATTGGTTTATCAGTGTGTTTCCCAGGTAGACATGTTCAGTGGCTCTGTCCAAATGTCCACCCCCGGTGCTCTTGACATGTTGACATGTGCAAACGGGGAATGAAAAGTAGTGATCCTCTGTCTAAATGGTCAGTTAAATAAGTTCCACTATAAAGTCCAATATATAACCCGCCAAACATGGTGGCATTTAGATGTTTGTGTGGACGTTCTGACAAAGCCAGTGTGTTTCCCTGGTAGAACTGTTAGAACTACACCAATTGGTCTATCAGTGTGTTTTTCTGTCCACTGCTAAATGCTGCACTGTCTCTGCTTACCAGGTGGAGGACTTGGACTTCTCCAGCTTTCTACACTGCGTGGTCGAGGTGGAGGATTACAATGATCATGCTCCAGTCTTCATTCCTCACTTTCTGGCTCTGGCACCGCTGCCTGAGGATGTAAGCGTGGGAACCAGCGTGGCCCATTTGGTGGCCAGTGACTCTGACTCTGGCCAGAACCGTGATATAGCCTACAGCCTGTCTGAGGACTCAGACCCAGAGGGCCTGTTTACTATTGACCAGTCCGGTCTGCTCTCTGTGGCCCGGCCCCTTGATCGAGAGAAGACGGCCCAACATCTCTTGGTCATCATAGCAACAGATCATGGCATCCCGGCTCTTACAGGAAGCGCTACCGTTCAGCTGCCTCTGTTGGATGTCAATGACAATGGCCCAGAGTTTGAGGCAGCCTACTCTCCTGTGGTCTTTGAGAATGTAGCCGGTCCGCAGGTAGGCTAGACTCCGACCTCAGGACTTAAGGGTTGTTGGCTGTAACTAAGCTTTCACCCTGTGCTTCCTCTTTAGGTGGTGAGGTTGAACCAAACCTCCACCGTCCTTCGAGCTGTGGACAGGGACTCTCCTGAGAACGGACCTCCCTTTCGCTTCAGCGTCCCTCCAGAGTACCGCTATAGTAATGACTTTTACCTCCAGGATAACTTGAACGGTTCTGCAACGCTAACAGCTCTCAGGATGTTTGACCGTGAACGGCAGAAAGAGTTCCTGCTTCCTGTGGTCATGAGTGACAGCGGGCATCCAGCCAAGACAGTGACCAGCACTCTGACTGTGACCATTGGGGACCAAAACGATCACGCTCACTTGGCCGGAGAGAAGCAGATATCGATCAACAGCCACAGAGGTGAGAAAAGCTCTGAGGATCATTTAAAACAGAAGCTTTCTCAATTTAATGCAGTAAGGAATGCTTTGATCTTTATATTGTAGAAACCAAACAAACTCTCCACAGATGCACAGCTCAACACAGGAGTGCTCCCTCCTCCTGAAAAGACTCTGCTATCCACCTACACCCTAAAGACACTCTTTTGAGGACGAAAATGTACACATTTTGGACAAATGACACAAGTGGTTTTAATGGGGTGTGAAGGAATCCAGTTATTGCCACCCAGGTGGTCAAAACATCACTTCTGTAAGCTAGGCCAATACCTACCCTAAGGACTCCCGATTACAGAGGCATTGGCCAGTTTCGGTTTTTGCTGGCCAACAACGACCTTAATGAATGCATGTTTTCTAAGCAATAACAAGGCTCTTGTTGGGCAACTCTAAAAAGCCCTGAGCTCCATGATACTCCAGATATTTTGAATTAAGAAAGCTTTCTGGATGGGAAGCGAAACGTCTATAAACTTGGAAACAAAGTCCTGGGGATTTTTTTACTTTTTTGTAATGACTATGACCTGGATGACTGAGAATCTTCACTAGCATAATAACCGGTATAAAGCAGATACCGATATGTCTACATGGAAATGAGGGCTAGGCAGCATGTTGGGTTTGGTTCTGTCTTTGGTCAGGAGCAATCCAGCTGATCTATGCATTTTTCTTCAGGCCGTATGCCAACCACCGTCCTTGGAAAGATCTACGCTCCCGACCCTGATGACTGGGATAATAAGACCTTTGTGTTTGAGGGACACCTGCCAAGGTAATACCCAATCAGTGCTTTCTGCCTGGTTTTCTTCCTATTCAGGGTTTCTTTTTGTCATCATATTCAATCTGACAGAAATAAAGATGTCTTCGTGTTTATGTGGATAGATCAGAATTTAATCCTTTTTAAGCTGGAATATCATCATAAAACACCTACCTTTTTATTTAAATGGTCTGCAGATAAATGAAGCTTTAAGTGAAATAACTTTGCTTTAATGTGCATAATTTCATCGTCCAATCCAGGTCAGAGCAAAGTAAATTAGGTTCATTAAATAATCTGCTGGATGCTAGAGAATGAGCATAGATGCTAACTCTGGCCATGTTCACACAGCAGGCTAATGCTAGTCATATTTTGCCCATATGTGACTCATATCAGCAGCCTGAACAGCTGTGACCTTCTAACCTCATTAAATAATCAACTTTCAGCTCCTTTTTAATGTGGTACTAATTCAGATACGGATCTGATCGTTTTCCCTTCTCTGTTAATGATGATGTGAGCTCCCATCGCACATGGATTCAGAGACACCAGCATCCACTGGTTCATTTCAACAGTGGTGTCAAAAGTACACACATAGACAATTCACGTTTGCAGTTTGAAGAAAACCTGCTTACTTCTGATGATTTCCTTTAGCTAACCAATCAGTGTTTGCGTTATATGACTCATCCAATTATACTAGTTTTCACTAGATGTGGATGGAGCCAATGATCTGCAATGATGGCGCACATGACATGAAATAAATATATATAAACATTAAACGAGGGGTAACCAATTAATCAGTGGGGTACGAATAAAGAAAATCATCAACCAGTAAAGGTCCAGAGACATTTTTAATGATCTGTTACTTTAAACACTATTTAACACTGAAATAAAATGAGGTATTTATGCATTCATGTTATACATTGAATTCTGAAAAAAAAAAAAAAAAAAGGAATTGCCAAAAATTGCATCCCGTGCTATCTCAGAGGAGCTGACACTTGTATGACCTGTATTCCTGTATATCCATCAGTAGTTAAAGGACAAGGGTCAGCAAATGCAAATTCTGCCTGTAAAACAATGACAGCGCAATTGTCGCTGTATGATCTGAAGCCTCATTTGGAGCTTTTAAACAGGCTTTTGAAAAACTTTGATAATTTGCTGCTGTAATATTATAGATTTTTTAGAATAAAAAGTTAGTAGATGTGCATAATCAAAAAATAACAGAAACACAGTCATAGATTATTCCGTATTGTAAGAAAGCCCACACTGTTTCTGAATAAATACATTATTGTATGAGTTAAGTTCTGTTCCGTTTATACCTCTTTCCTTGTAAGTGTGAAATGTCCCATGCTCTTGAATGCACCATAGCTATCTGACGCTTGCGAATGCATCACACTGGTCTGTGAACGCTGTGCTGTGTAGATGCCCATTTGATTTTCCACTTAAGACAAAGCTTTGCAGTTTCTAAACTGACGTTGGCTATCACTGTTTATTGTTGTGTGTGAATAATAAGAAACTACAACAAATAAGTCATCCGTAACTCAGACAAAATCTTTGGATTTAATGTTCAACTTCATAACACCCGTACTGGGGATGCATCTCGGCAGGCGTGCA